TTCTTTCATTATATGTTGCGTATAGTTTTAAATGCTCTGTAGAAAAGTAGTTGAAGAACTTTAATTTGTTTACTCTATTAAATAACTTTCCATTATTATATTGTTATCACAGGCATGTCTTATGGTCTGATCCATCATAGGAATGTATCATCGAAAAGATTGATCCGACGGTCCAGGTTCAAAACAGAAATATTTATTAGTTTGACCGCGGTCCGCGGCTTTTTACGTACTTGGATGTCTAGGTGAAAGATGCAAAGGCCAAAGTAGCTTCTGGTTGACTCGTAAGAGACTAGGAGCTACTGATTTCACTCTCTTTAATGTCCCTTTAAGAGAACAATTGAACGTCCATTGGATCAATCACGTGAATGCGCAGAGGAAATGCATGAATCCCGCAGTTGAATTTAGTAGGGCTTTCTTAGGCAGCGGCGTGTCACAGACTTCCTAGAGATTTCAATAATTAACCTACTCTGCCTCTTAAATTATATTTATTATAATTTTCAAAAAAAAAAAAAATTCACTATTGAAGGTGAAGGTGAAATGTGAGGTAGTTGAGTTTCGTTACCGTTAGTTTTGGTTCTTGAACGGAGTCAACATCCATGCTATTATGAGGGGCTGCAATAGGTACGCGGCATAGAATGATTAGGTGAAGTCTGCATCAACGCTGGCTAAGAATGTAGGTGTACAGTGACTGTGATAAGAAGGGACGCGGATACGTAGTGAAGATTTATAACGATATTTGTACAAACCAATTTGTATAAACTTTTATCACACACCATAAATATGTTATATAGTATTGACTATTGAGGTTGACATAATTTAATATCAAATTAATATTATTTAAGTTTTTGTCATTTGATACTTATATGGTGTCTCATGTAAATTTATACAAAGAGAGATGACATATCACAAACATGTCATATAGTATTAAAATCAATATAATTTAATATCACATTAATGTTACGTTAATGCTTGCATAGTATATACAAGCATTACACATTTAGTGTATAGAAAAGTGTACTACTAAATACTAATAGTGCACCCATTAATACTATCAGGTACCACTCTACCAGATACCCTTCTAGTAGCTCAGCTAATTTATGGACTAAATGTAATACTTACACTCCCATATTCCTCACGCCCTTTCTCCTGCTTCACACTTCAAATTTCGATCTTCCTAATTAATTCTCTTACCTAAATAAAATTTTCTCGCTACCTATTTTATGTCACAACCATACCAATAATAATAATAAAAAATCTACAAAACAACCGTTCAAAATAATGATTTTTTTTTTTTTTGGTTAATTACCATATCATTCATATAACTAGGGATAGACGGGTTCGGCTCCTTTTTTAATTGGGTCAAGATAGTTTACTAGTTGGGCCCATTGAAGTACCCATTATGGATTAGGCCAAGGCCCAAGTTCTCTGTCATTTAGGCCCTTATTAAACACATTATTTAAGAATATCTGTGTTGGATATTTCTTTAATAAAAGCTGGTTGCTTTACGAGAATTTGTCAGGTCAGTTGACTGTAGATTTCTTACTGTATCTGTATGGTTTTTGGAGGGAAAATCAAGGTCAACTTTGAAGTTTGAAAAAAAAGAAGCACCTGTAAATTAATATCCTTATCCTTATGACCTTATCCTTATAACAATTGCTACGTACCAAGCAGTAGACGACAGAATAGTACGTAACAAACAATTATAAATTTCGTATACTCGATTGGTATCTAGTACTCTGCTGCACTCAATCTTGCCACGGTTGAGTTAAGATGATTCCTTCCTTTCGGTTCAATATTTTATGGTTGATGGTGATGGTGAAGGTCCACCATAAATGAAAAATGTAGTTACATCATGTGAACTGTATTCCTAGTTAATGAAGAAAACGATTAACATTACCCACCCGTCCCAACTAGTTCTCCTCCATTCATCATATTAATGCCATATCACATTCTTCTTCTAAGTCCACAAAAAGCGGTGAAATATCTGTTCCAATATAAGAATGGACGTTCTTTCATTATATGTTGCGTATAGTTTTAAATGCTCTGTAGAAAAGTAGTTGAAGAACTTTAATTTGTTTACTCTATTAAATAACTTTCCATTATTATATTGTTATCACAGGCATGTCTTATGGTCTGATCCATCATAGGAATGTATCATCGAAAAGATTGATCCGACGGTCCAGGTTCAAAACAGAAATATTTATTAGTTTGACCGCGGTCCGCGGCTTTTTACGTACTTGGATGTCTAGGTGAAAGATGCAAAGGCCAAAGTAGCTTCTTGTTGACTCGTAAGAGACTAGGAGCTACTGATTTCACTCTCTTTAATGTACATTTAAAAGAACAATTGAACGTCCGTTGGATCAATCACGTGAAGGCGCAGAGGAAATGCATGAATCCCGGTTCACGCAGTTGAATTTAGTAGGGCTTTCTTAGGCAGCGGCGTGTCACAGACTTCCTACAGATTTCAATAATTAACCTACTCTGCCTCTTAAATTATATTTATTATAATTGGAAAAAAAAAAAAATCACTATTGAAGGTGAAATGTAAGGTAGTTGAGTGTCGTTACTATTAGTTTTGGCTCTTGAATCGAGTCAACATCCATGTTATTATGAGGGGCTGCAATAGGTACGCGGCATAGAATGATTAGGTGAAGTCTGCACCAACGCTGGCTAAGAATTTAGGTGTACTGTGACTGTGAGGAGAAGGGAGTAGGGACGCGTACGTAGTAAAGATTAACTATAACAGTGTATCGCAAGGTGTATTACTAAATAGTAAATACTAATAGTGCACCCATTAATACTATCAGGTACCACTGTACCAGATACCCTTTTAGTAGCTCAGCTAATTTATGGATTATATCGCTATAAAAAAATGCTAGCGTTATAAAGATTTATATAAAAAAAGCATATAAAAAAGGTTTACAAAGTTCTATATAAAGAAACATATAAAAAAGGTTACAAAGTGACATCATTAAAAAAAAATAAAAATAAATAAATAAATAAAAAACGAAAAGAGAGAGAAAAATCATAAAAATTAAGGGTGAAAATTATTTTTATATGTGTCTTTGTAAATCTAGCATTACTCGTGTCTATAATACTTACACTCCCATATTCCTCACGCCCTTTCTCCTGCTTCGCACTTCAAATTTCCATCTTCCTAATTAATTCTCTTACCTAAATAAAATTTTCTCACTACATATTTTATATCACAACCATAATAATAAATCTAGAAAACAACCATTCAAAATAATGATTTTTTTTTTTAAATACTTCTATGCTTAAAAAGTCACTATGATGTTAGCTCAATAAATGCCTCTTTTGTACTAACTACCAAGCCCATACCTCCTCAAAGATATTCATACTAACCCTATCTCATTTCAAGAGATGAACGGACGAGAGCCTTCCATGTGTCAAGGCAACTTGCAAAACACTTATTACATTGATCTCAAAGGTATATAAATTGACACTTCTCTTTCCGAAAATGGGGGCTGGGCATATGAGAGTTAGACATAGATTTGAGTTTCATTATTTCTCTCTATAAACAAAGCTTTGTTCCATCTTTGTATGTCTTACCGGTAATATCATAGAAATAGCTAGAGAATAATACAATAATAGTGGATGTAGGATTTACTTTAAGCATCCGAACTACTATAAAAACCTCTCTTGTCAGTCTATTATTTATGTTTTTTGTAACATATATAATCTTAGCACCATATTCAAATCTCATGGATCCATCGCGTGTAATTTCTAAGACTCTATTAGCACTTTGCACGTACGAGTTGTTGGTGTCAAAATCAAGCATCAACAAATACCATATCATTCATATAACTAGGGGTAGGCGGGTCCGGTTACCTACCCAAATCCCATGGAATTGGAACCAAAACCGACTGGTTCCTGGGATTTGGAACCAGAATCGGAACCAGCCAGTTCCAATTCCTAAAAGCCTAGAACCAAAACACAAGTTTCGATTCCGGTTTCAAGTACCTAAGAAAATTAAGATACACCCCAAAAGTTTACAAAAAGTACATTTTAGTCTCAGCTTCTACTCGGGTATCAATTTCGGTTAACTGCAGGAACCGAAACTAGAACTGCAGAGTATCGGTTCCGATTTTTTATAATCGGAATGAGAACCGAAACCCTGAGTATCCGCTGGTCCTAATTCTACCCTATTTTTTTGCCCACCCCTACATATAACTATCTAGTAAAATTTGTGTTATTTATGAATTTTTTTCTTCTCTCGTTTATAGATTAATTGTTATGAATAGGGGTGAATATGAGTAAAGGGTAGAACTTGAACTGGCGGGCACCCACTCATTGGTTCTAGATAGGAATTGGAATCGATCCCATTACGGGATGATTTTGGTTTTGAAAAATTGGAATTGAGAATTCTAGAGTTCGGTTATGGTTCCTACATTGTTGAAGTCAGGAATCAGAACTGAAACCGAGGTCTAGGTACTTGGGTAGGAATTGCGAATAAATTATAATTTTTACTTATTTTATATGTTAAAATAAATAGTAAGATAACAATTTGACAATATTTATTAACTTTAATAATATAAATTTTGAATATTCAAAGGAAATAATGTCATTAACTGTTATTTTAAAAAAAAAAAAAAAAATCTCTAATTAAGGAACGTAATATACGCGCCTCCAGTGAAAGTGGCAATGCTGATAGAACCGACCGTAGTTACAGCTTTATGCCACAAGGCATAAAAACTAACTGAAACTGCCGAAGCCGGAATGACAGAAACACCCCTGTGAGAGGCTCACTGGCCGAGACCAATGCTTCACTGCAACACTCTGCACACAGAAGAAAGAAACAAGAATTTTTCTGCAAAATAATTTTTTTTTCTCCTCTCTCTTTCTCAACAAAGCAAATGAAAACAATGTCACACCCTTCATTATCACCCTCATTCATTAATCACATTTACTTCTTTGCCACTGACAACTACCTCTTCTCTATCTTTAATCTCCTCTCCCATCATCAATGTTTATGTATATGTATCTTTAGAACTAACCAAAGCTCATCCACCAAGAACACCGAGATTTTAGTGCTAGGGTTCTGTTGCAACCAGCCCTTTACGCTTCTTATTCAACCTTCGTTAACTTCGAAGTTTTATATTTTTATTTGTAGGTTTGAATTTTCAACTTTTGTCGTTTTTACATTGTTTTGTTTTGTTTATCTTAAATTTTGAATTCTTGGATTCTCTTTAGAATGTAACAGTTGTTTTCTTGCTACGTTTTTTCTTTTGAGCCCTGTGTATGGAGATATTATTAAAATAGCTTAAGGTTCTTGGTGTTGGTCGTGTACACGACTCTCTTTTGCTTTTCCTTCGAAAGGTAGGAACACATGCTTTCTTTTGCAGATTCTTTTTTTTTTTTTTTTTCTTTTCGGTTTTTTAATTGCGCTTTTCTAGGTGCTCTTTCTTATTCTGTCGTGATAGGTGCTACATTTTAATTTAGATGTTCTTTTACTGTATCTAGTTATGAAGATTGCATCCGGTGATAGTGAGGAGATTATATGCTTTTTTTTCCTTTTTTTTCGTTTTGTGAAATGTAAGTGGCGGCCTTTGTCTTAGATTGACTGAGAGAATTCTTTCGGATTCTTTTGACTGAAACAGTGTTCTGGTTTTAGTTTTGCTTTTTATTTGGATAGGAGTTGTCGTTCAATGTTTTCCATTGATGTTTATTCAATTTTTAATTTTATTGGTTTGTTGGGCCGATGATTCATTGGATTTCTTTTCAGGTGAAAAATGATGGCCGTTCTAGTGGGTCCTGAAGATTGAGTTTGTAGGAGAGAAAGAGCTGTATTTTGGATTATCTGTTTGATTTTTTGAAAATGACGGAAGGGCGGCGACATTCAGTCGATATCCCTATCTCTAGAACACTTATAGCACTCAGGAGAGTGAGGTCCCTGAGGGATCCATCAACTAATTCGTTGAGCAAATTTTCTGCAATGCTTGACAATGTGAATTGGGAAACAAATTCAAGCAATGGGATTTCTCTGCGGTTTGAAAATGGTTGTAAAGAAGGTGTTTCTCAACATAATGGTCTCTTGGGATCAAAATCTTTAGGTTTTAATGCACTGAGAAAGGATCAAGATGATGATTTGGAAATGCATCGAGGCTTGCCTAATTCTTTGGCATGTCAGAATTTGGGTCGGGAAGGAAACACTGGTAATCCTGGTAGAATGAAACAGGTTGAAGGATTAGATAATTATTCATCAAATCAAAAAGAGGTTTATGGAGATGGATTTCTTGATGAAAGATATTGTAGTGATCATAGGGATGAAGAATTGAACTTGGCTTGCATTGTGCCTCCTAGTAATTCTATGGAGGATGTAGGTTCATATAAGGGACCAATTCTAGGATCATTATCAAAGGAAAAAGTAGACCAATCTGTGTCTAAACGGAAATCCCGAATCAAAAATCAAACTAAATTATGTGAACCAGACGGTAATCTTGGTAGTCTTGTAAGTACTCCATGCCCTTCAGGAAGTGATGCCCTGTCAAATCGTAGCATGTCATTATTTACAGATGAAGAGGTTGATGTTGTTGACAGCAGTTATCGTGGATGTGGACTAAGCTACTGCTGGTCCAGAACTCCACGGTCCAGAGAATCAAATCCTTCTGATGTAGAAGACCATCCCTTGTTATCTGGGGAGGTAAGTGACACAACTCTTTATGGACGTGGGCATCACAACATCAATAATGAAATTGCTACATGCTCAGAAACTCCTAGGAGTTTGAGTCAGAAATTCAGGCCAAAATCTTTTGACGAATTGGTTGGACAAAACGTGGTTGTGAGGTCTTTATTGGGTGCCATCTCTAGAGGAATGGTAACATCCTTTTATCTCTTCCATGGTCCTCGTGGTACAGGCAAGACCTCTGCCTCAAGGATCTTTGCTGCTGCTTTAAATTGCCTGTCACTTGAGGAGCACAAGCCATGTGGTATGTGCCGAGAGTGTATTTTGTTCTTTTCTGGTAGGAGCAGGGATGTCAAGGAAGTGGATTCTGTGAGAATCAATCGAACGGACAAGGTCAGATCCCTTATGAAGAATGCATTCATCCCACCCCTTTCATCACGGTTTAAGATATTCATTGTTGACGAGTGCCAGTTGCTGCATGGGGAGACGTGGGTAACTGTTTTAAATAGCTTGGATAACATTTCACAACATGTTGTCTTTGTAATGATCACTTCCGACCTGGATAAGCTGCCTCGAAGTGCAGTATCTCGGTCCCAAAAATATCATTTTTCTAAGATAAAAGATCCTGATATTGCTAGCAGATTGAGGAAAATCTGTGGTGAAGAGGCTCTCAACTTTGATCAGGTTGCTTTAGACTTCATTGCTACTAAATCAAATGGTTCACTAAGGGATGCAGAGATGATGCTTGATCAGCTCAGTTTGCTTGGTAAAAAAATTACAATGTCCTTGGCCTACGAGCTTGTGAGTATTGGATAATTGTTTGTTGCATATACTTTAGCCCATTTTTTTCCCGTTCAAGATATTGAAAAAATGTTTTTGTGTGCAGATTGGAATCGTTTCTGATGATGAATTGCTTGATTTGCTAGATTTGGCTTTATCTTCTGACACTTCGAATACAGTAATAAGGGCCAGGGAACTGATGAGATCAAAAATTGATCCAATGCAACTTATTTCACAACTTGCAAATCTCATCATGGATGTTCTTGCTGGTAAATGTCAGGAATGTAGTTCTGAAGCTAGGAAAATGTTTTTCAGAAGGCACAATTGTAAGTACTTCTGTGCATATAAATTAATAAGTACTTAATTAATTTGGTCATTATTTCTTCAAACTATTAGTCACTTGTATTTAACTAGTCAGTTGCTGTATCCGTGTCAATGTAAAAAAAATTCCACAAAATATGATTAATGTTAAGAGTTTTTGAGAATGTTGACCTTCAGCTAATAGCTTGCTGACTTAAAAAGTCAACATTTAGATGAACTCTAAATTGCTGCATGTGACTTGACCAAACTAGTTACCAACTGATTGTCAATACTCGGATGAATATTTTTTGTGTTTCAAGTCATGGCATTTATACGTGCTGCTGACTTTTTTATTGGTAGAGGTTTGCTGTTTCTTACCAACATGGAAGTTCAACTAAATTTCTTTCCCTAGAAGGATTCTTGAGCTTCTCATTGTTTGATCATATATGATGTACTATATTTATGTAATTTAATGTTGTTTTCTTGGTTGCATTAAGATTGATCTATTTAACTAGTGTGATATGAATTTTGATAGTTTAATATGCATATATATGACTATCTTCAATTCAGTGCCTATGGTGACTGTACTGCGTTTACTCCACCACATATTTCACTGTTGTTTTCACCATTATCTGACCGTTTATTGCAATTTTATGTCCCATAGCTGAAGCGGATAAGCAGAAATTGAGTCATGCCCTGAAAATTCTTTCTGAAACAGAGAAACAGTTGAGGATGTCAAAACATCAAACCACATGGCTCACTGTAGCTCTATTGCAGTTAAGCTGTGTGGAGTCTTCATCCTTAGATCTAAGTGATTCCAAGCCAAGTCAGAGAAATGCACATGAAAAAGGTCATAAACTCACAATCACTGCTAATAATTGGATATCTCTCTTTAGTTCCTATAAGAAGTCTTTCTATTGCTCTCTATCCCCTTTTATTGTGTTGATAAGGTTCAAATATTCTAATGAGGTAAAATTTTCATGCTGAAATCTGTTCTTGTTTGGATGTAGATGGTGATTCTCATAGCACATTATCCCCTGGCGAGAGCTTGAAGCATCTGGTTGTCCATTGTTCTTGTGATGACAATAAATCAAACAAATTTGGAACACGGGAGGATTTTAAAGGAAAATTGGAATCGATATGGAAGAGAGCTACAGAATTATGCCAATCCAAATCGCTCAAGAGTTTTCTAAGGAAACAGGGGAAGATGTTGTCTCTTCATGTTAACCAAGGTACTCGCTTCTGATGCTTTATTAATTATACCTTTAGAAGGTATAGTGTGGATTTTTGTCTGTACTGCTAGTGATGACTGAATAATACTATCTCAGGTGTGGCAATTATTGAATTGCAATTCCATCATCCTGACTATGTATCTAGGGCCGAGAAGTCCTGGAAATTGATTGCAAGCTCACTTCAGACGATATTGGGTTGTAACGTTGAAATACGGCTACTTTGTGCTCCCATGTCAAACCGTAGCAAGACAAGGAAGTCCTCTTTCAGTTTGTTTAGTTGTTCACGCAGAATTCAGCAGAAGTCTCAATCAACTACAGAGTGTGGGAGTGATTCTGAATATTCTGATTACATCTCTGAAAAACTTATTACGAAGGACAGACATGTTTTGAATTTTTACTCAGATTGTGGATCACAGATGTCAAATAACCCTTATCACAGAACAGAAGTGATAGGGGCTTTAAGAAATAGCGAAGGAAATGTACTAAGCACTGGTACAGCCTCTTCCCGCAGAATAAATCAACATGATGCATTAAAGGCTCCTGGTTATAATATCAACTCTTTAGAGGAAGACAGAAACAACTGCGAGAATTTATCAATTCAAGAGCCAGAAATTCAGCCAAGCTGCTTTCCTACAACTTTAAGGCTTAAAAAGAAGTTATGTGCTTCAGACGCTACTCAAATGGTTCATACAAGTAACCCACAAGAAAACAAGCTTGCGTTGTCTGTCCCAAAGAAGAATTCTTTTGATACATATATTTGTGTCAATGATCCCTGTGTTTTCTATGGCAACTCAACTAACTGCTCCAACAGCTTCAGAGAGGAGGATGGGTAAGAGGTTTCATAGCAATTTTCTTTCGTTCTCGTCTACAAAAAGATTAATTTATTCCCAGTAATGCAAACAATGCAAACCATATGCAAAGGTTTAAACTTAAGGTGAAGGTGCAGTTGCTACAGAGTTTACCCTTGTGGGTGCCCCCAGCATTGGCCGGCAATCTACCTAACATCATTCCATGTTAATTGCTATCTAGATTGCATGCATGTGAGCTGTTGATGTGTCGATGTATGTTTGAAAATTGACAGTTAACTACAAACCAGTAAATTTCTTGTTTTGTGCCTTCTTTAAGTACTTCACTACTAATTTAATATGTTGTGTCTTTTGGCAGATTGAAAGATTACTCCAATGTGCTTTGTTGGAGAACCCCCACATTTCCCCTAAGGAAGGTAACACTAATATTATAGTGTAAAGCTCAATGGCCTGATACTAGTTTAAAAAGAAGGAATAACATGATTGGATGCAATTAATTAGTATATCATAGCTGATGTTTGATCTCCCTTTTTTAGTACTGGAGGCTGCCCTGACTATGTTACCTCACTTCTGCCGTGTCTCTCTCATTTAAACCTTAGCTGGTTAAGACTTAGATAATTTTATCTTAATTTCAGGTTTATCTATTTATCTGCCTTAGATTATTAAGTCGAGGTGTTTTAGATGCGTGTATACATTGTTCTTATATTGTGCTAAAACTTTGTATAAGCTATTTTTTTAAGCATATCCAGTTAATAAGAAACTGGTGAAAGTGCTTGCGAACACCTAGTTGAAATAAACTAGGATGTTAGATAGTGATGGTGTGAGTGTGTTGACGATTGCAGGCTTGGCAACTGGCACACCAACAAAAAAGATCAAACTTAGTGGGGCGCATTCTACCCTGTACCACCGCTAAGCAAGCAGTAGTTTTATGATGAGGGGCAGATGGCAAACGTTTATGGTGGCTGCAGAAGAGCTTAAAATATACTGAATTTTTGCAAATTTTTTGTAAGTATTTATTGCAGAACATGGAGATCATCACAGGGCATAATGTTATTGTAATAATATGTATAGCACTTCATTTGATTTTATAGAATAAGCTTCCGATGAAGAGCCAGTTTCTGTTAGCCTCTTTATTTTTAACATGTNCGAACACCTAGTTGAAATAAACTAGGATGTTAGATAGTGATGGTGTGAGTGTGTTGACGATTGCAGGCTTGGCAACTGGCACACCAACAAAAAAGATCAAACTTAGTGGGGCGCATTCTACCCTGTACCACCGCTAAGTAAGCAGTAGTTTTATGATGAGGGGCAGATGGCAAACGTTTTTGGTGGCTGCAGAAGAGCTTAAAATATACTGAATTTTTGCAAATTTTTTTGTAAATATTTATTGCAGAACATGGAGATCATCACAGGGCATAATGTTATTGTAATAATATGTATAGCACTTCATTTGATTTTATAGAATAAGCTTCCGATGAAGAGCCAGTTTCTGTTAGCCTCTTTATTTTTAACATGTTTTGAGCTGCCAGAGTTACTTGTAATAGATATTCTGGTAAACAAACTAATCCACTTTTGAGTATGTTACGAAAGAGTAAGCAACTTTTGAGTGTGAATACAGATGAACATTTTAACACCTGATTTAAATAAACAAACTAAATTAAACTGCACCGATAAATGAAACTTTGGAACTTGGTTTATTACTCCACATTGATAAGTTTCGGACCATGTTGGACAAACAAAACGTTGTCTCGACTCTCACTCCAATCTTTTCCTTTGTCTCCGTTAACCGACCAACGGAAAATGTCTCTCACTATTTCCAAAACTTCATGCGGTCGCGAATACAAAGTTAAGGACATCTCCCAAGCCGACTTCGGCAGACTCGAAATCCAGCTGGCGGAAGTGGAGATGTCCGGTCTCATGTCCTGTCGAGCCGAGTTCGGTCCAGCTCAGCCCTTTCAAGGAGCCCGCATCACCGGCTCCCTCCACATGACCATCCAAACCGCCGTTTTAATCGAAACGCTCACGGCGCTCGGCGCCGAGGTCCGTTGGTGCTCCTGCAACATATTCTCCACGCAGGACCACGCCGCGGCGGCCATAACACGTGACTCCGCGTCTGTCTTCGCGTGGAAAGGCGAGACTCTAGAAGAGTACTGGTGGTGCACGGAAAGGGCCTTGGACTGGGGGCCCGGTGGTGGGCCTGACTTAATCGTGGACGACGGAGGGGACGCCACGTTGCTTATTCATGAAGGTGTCAAGGTAGAAGAGGAATATCAGAAGACGGGGAAGCTGGTGGACCCGACGGTCAGTCACAACGCAGAGTTTAGAATCGTTTTGGAGATAATAAGAGAAGGTTTGTTGATCGACCCATGGAGATATCGGAAAATGAAGAAGAGATTAGTCGGTGTTTCTGAGGAGACCACTACAGGCGTCAAGAGATTGTATCAGATGCAAGCAAATGGAACCCTGTTGTTTCCCGCCATTAATGTTAACGATTCCGTCACCAAGAGCAAGGTAAAACTGTAGCTCATCTTGTTGTTTAAGCTCATTCGGATAGAATTCTTGTTTTTGGTTTTTGTTTCTAAGCCATTTGTGACGTTGATACAGTTTGATAACTTACATGGGTGCCGGCATTCACTCCCTGACGTAGTGATGAGAGCCACCGATGTGATGATAGCCGGTAAGATTGCAGTTGTGTGTGGATATGGAGATGTTGGAAAGGGCTGCGCCACTGCTCTCAAGGCAGCTGGTGCCCGCGTAATCGTGACAGAAATCGATCCAATTTGTGCTCTTCAAGCTCTCATGGAAGGCATTCAAGTCTTAACCCTGGAAGACGTCGTTTCAGAAGCTGACATTTTTGTTACCGCCACAGGGAACAAGGACATCATCATGATTCATCACATGAAACAAATGAAGAACAATGCAATGGTGGGTAACATGGGCCATTTCGATAACGAGATAGATATCCGCGGATTGGAAACTTACCCGGGTATTAAGCGAATCACGATTAAGCCACAGACTGACCGGTGGATCTTCCCGGAGACCAACAATGGTATCATTGTTCTTGCGGAGGGACATCATATGAATTTGGGATGTGCAACTGGACACCCCAGTTTTGTAATGTCGTGTCAGTTCACAAACCAGGTGATTGCGCAGATTGAGCTGTGGAAGGAGAGGGGAACGGGGAAATATGAGAAGAAGGTGTATGTTCTGCCTAAACATCTTGCTGAGAAAGTTGCTGCACTTCATGTGGGAAAGCTTGGTGCTAAACTTACGAAGCTTACTTCTGAACAAGCTACTTATATTAGTGTTTCTGTTGAAGGTCCTTACAAGCCTCCTCACTATCGCTATTAGTTTGCAGAGGGCGTTATTTCTTGTGTTTGTTAACTTAAAACTTGCCGATGGTATCCATTCACATTCACTAAATAGAGGATTTGGATTTTGGCGTTCTAATCTCTTTTTCTCTTGTCCTTAATAGGCTTTAACGTTGAAACCTTTTTGTCAATAATGGTAATCTTGAGTCCCTCCTCCATCCTTAATAAGGATGGTCATTAGGGTATTTATCATGTCATAATGGTATTTATCATGTCATAAATTTAAATCTTAAAAAATTAGTTAAAGTGTACGTAAATTAACCTGAACACTTTCAGTAAAAAAAAGAAGAAAAAGTAATACTAATCCTATTCCTATCGAGTCTATTTTTATTTTTATTGTTACAAAACTATTGGAAATTAAACGACTTTCTATTATGGGAACGATTCTCACATCAAGTTTGATTATAATTTTGAACCAATAGTATATAATATATAATCTTTTTATGGTATTAATCTTATTATAGAGTGAACTGTGAAGAAACCAAAATCTCTGTTGTCTAAAAGGAAGTGCACTTACTATATTGTCATTTGAAATTCTATAAATTTTATGGAGAGAAGAGGTAGACAAGGACAATTTTGGAATATGATTATATAAATACATGTATAATTTGCCAAGGGTTTTTGGTGGTTCTCATCCATTTATCACAGTACTCTGTTTTCAGGCCCATTCTGCTAAACCTGTATCGTGGGCCTAAACCCACACCTGGATGGCTTAAAGGATCCAAAATACAACATCGGACCGTCGAAGTGGACGATCGACTAAATCAATTTGAAACTGTGAATCAGTACACACAGCAGGACAGGAGTTAAATTGAAAGCAGTCAGTGGAGGCTATCACGGATCGATAATGATCGACGACACCAAATCCATACGAGTTCTGTGCCCTAAGCTTCTGCTCACCAATTCGGGCCTCCAATGGCTTATCGGATCCCCTTTTTGCCCGTCACTCACTATCGTCTCCACCGTCACTTGCATCCACCACAACTCTTCTTCTCCTGATTACGACAAAGAGTCCGGTAAACTCTCTGTTTGCTTCCCCAGAAAATTTCGAAACTTTTAGAATTTTTTTTTTTTTGTAAATTCTCATGTTATTTTACTTAATTTGAGCAGATGATCTCCGTACGTTGCTCCCGAAAGGTTTTCACATAATCGGAGCATTAATCATAAAAAACTCTGACGTTGAGAAGAACGCAAGCGAGGCTGTTGATGCAGCTCGCAAATTGCAAAGAAATTTATCTGGTGAAGCAGAAGCAGGATTAGATGTTCCCGTAATGATTGCGGTAGTTGCGGATTTGGAGACTGGTGATAATAAATTTTTTGTTTCAAGATCAGAAAATTCTACTAACATTGAAACGGTTGAGTATGTTATATATGATGACAATCCCCATGAGTATGTTTGGGAGAGAGGTTGTTTAATTCTGTGCGAGCTTCCGCTTAAGTTGCCATTTTATTATCCAGTTAACAATCCGTCTGGTGAGTTTTTAAATATATTATAGCTTTCTTTGTAATTTGTTTGTAGGAGATATTCTAAGTTTGCATTTGTGAATAAATAAAGCAAAGCAATACAAGGATTTTCATGTAATTGGAGGTTTTCACTGTAAGGGGACTTCAGGAAAAGGAAGCAAAAAAAAAATTAACTAGTTAAAATAACAGCGGAATAAAGTGTATCGTGGACATCTAGTTGCTAGGAAGATTGCATGGGTATAAATCATCTGGATGCTGTGGCAATTATTAGATTAAAAGGCTTTGTTGAGTTGAGTGGACTTTTAACTGTTCAGTTCAGAGTTGGGGATGTATAGATTCATTAGTGTGTGTTGGTAATTTCTGCCCTTAAAAAAATTCTGTAATATGTTGTCTAATTTTTAAATATTTAATGACTTGGTACATTTTTGTCTCTCAGATGCGCAGAAAATTTATTTGCATGCAATTGAAGCAGTCATTGATAAGTTCAAAGATCCACAGATTGTTTATTTGGTAGAGGCATTAGGCCAAGCCTCTTCAGAATTACCTCAACCTGTCATTCTTCGTGGTAAAGATTTGGATTTTGGCACAAATCTTTCCAAAATGAAGCTTGTGGGTGAAGCTGCTGAAGATTTGGACAGAAAAGACTTATCATGTGCACACTTTTGTTTAAAAAGTAAATCAGCCCCCACAATCTTTTCTGCGGAGGTAAGAAATAGCATATGATATTTTGTGTTATGATAATTTTGCCTATGGGCCATAAGTGGGATTTAGAACACTTTTTTTTATTTTAAATAAACATTCATCTATGATACTGGATATAAGCTTTCATCATTTCTGAAAAGTTTTTTGGCTTAGAGTGCAGATATTATTCAAGTAAGTGTTCTGCATAATAGATCAGAAAAGTCTCCAATATCCACTGCACCCATTGCTGAATTTTATCCTGGTAGTTAATTAATGTTAAGATATTAATGTTTCTGTTTCTGGAAAATTGAGTTATTGTTTATATAAACTTCAGAGGAACTTTAAAACTCAATTAAATGGGAATCAATCTTTGTGATGTCAGCTTCAGAAGATGCCAGACTTTTGGTTGTGGATTTTAAGCTAGAAGTGCTTTGTTATGCAGCCAAGAGTCTTCCGCTGATGGATGCCATTTCTATGTTAGTTTTCCCTGGTTTAGTCGATCAACTAAATTCAATGACGAAGGCAGTCATGCCCTGCCTCTTAACTCAACATCCTCAGGTATATGAAAGTTTACAACTGTGTTCATATTGCCAATTTGCTGTCTATAAGTAGACACCTATGCTGAACACATATGGTTCTTTTCTGCTATAACTTCAATGTTCTTGGCTATGGAATTGACAGAGTTAAATATATGTGCTGTTATCCTAACAATTCTGGTTATCCTTTAATAATCAGAAAATATAAGTAGCTTGTTGACAATGCCTTCTGCTTTAATGGGACTCAGAAAAATGCTTAGAATAGTATAACTTACTGAAAACCATGCACACAGAGAGAGACTTGTTGTAAACATTTTACATATAGTTTGGGCTGTTAAAAGAAAGCTATAATTGTGTTGGTTGCCACATACTACTCATCTCAGGAAGGGAACTGAAAAGAATGTAAAAAATGCCACCAGAGTCTGAACCAAAACCAAATCCTTAGGTAAAAATAAGTTATGCATTACTCATTTGTTTTCTTTCCTGTGATAATTCTCACAAGGCATCATTCTTATATTTCAGGCATTTAATTTTGATTTACATGCATACCTTGATGTTTTATGTTCTAATAAGAACATAATTGTTCCCCTGGATATTATATCTAATGTATGTTCTTCAAGTAATTAGAAAATTTATTTTATTTACAGCTTCGTCCATTCCACTTTAGTCTTCCTGGATTATTGCATCCGATCACTGTTGTCTATGAACTTAATTATGGAGAGACAGAAATGAAGCAAGGTAATCATTTTGGTTGAAATTTCTCTGCCTTTTCTCTTCAAGTAGCATAACCATGAGCCAGAGTTTTCATCATTTTGTTTTTATTGCTGAGTGGTTAATAAAATTTTTCTCCTCCCTTTCCAGTAATAAGAAAATTTTGTGGTTGGATAAATAAAGTATTCCCAAACTTTCATATATAGAGCAAATGGATTACCTCCTCTCAGGACATTTCTGACACTAATAATTTTAGATAGGAACCAACTACTTAAGTGTTGTGATTTGATTTACTCTTAGTAATTGATCAATATAATAACTTGAATTCTAAACCTCTGTGTTTCTGCAGTTGATGTAAGAAAATCCCTACACTTAAGGCTGGGATTGCCTTTTGATCGTCCTCTCATGAGAATTGCTAATGCCCTGGATTTGTCTAATACTAAGGATGGTTCAAGGAGCAATTCATTAAGAAAGGGTAATTCTTCCATCTTTATATATGCAGTGCTCTGTGTAGACATTAAGCTTTTTCTCTGTCTGTGTTTCTTTTGGCCTTGTGCTTATCTAACTTTGTTTTAAATTCCTATGGCAATATCAGGTTCTTCCTTGCTTAAAGATGTACATATTGGAATCCCGAGTAGTGGAGGTAGTGGTTACTAATATTTTTTGTCTTTTTGTTCCTCTTAACTATTGTTCATTGAAATTGTGAATTTTTTTTTTTCAGTCTCAGGGGGCCTTGTCTCTCTGGTTCAAGGTTCTTATGAGTACTACCATTATCTTCAAGATGGCTTTGATGACTCGGTATTGGTTTTTCTTTGTCTCTCCATTTAAATTAACTTCTAACATCTTTTCTTATTTGTCGCAGCTTCTGTATTTAATGAATTATTAGGTTTCTCCTATTTTGCAAAACATTGAGGGTTACTTCTATCTGTCTAATCTTGTATTAGCTTTGGCATCTAAATCCTTTTACTTTTGTACTCCTTTATATGGGGTTTGAAGGACTTCTTCTTGTAGAAGTTGACTACTTTTTTGTAATTTTTAACTGATATATGTTTTACTTAGAAATTGAGCTTTGTAATTGCTTGTGAAGTTTTCCTTCCTGTAATCGTTATTTGTATTTGCAGCTCTATTACTGATTCATTTATATATCATTTGCTAGGGCTGGGGTTGTGCTTACCGATCTCTACAGACTATCATTTCGTGGTTCAAGCTCCAACATTACACATCCATAGATGTTCCTTCACATAGGTATGAAAAGGTCACTGCCTACAGAGTGCTGATGTCTTTTCAACATATGATTTTCAAGTCTTCAAATCCGACTGTTACAAAAATATGATTCAATATGATTCCATATGATACAGATAAATTATATTTGAATCTTCTCTTCCATTTCCCTATGCCTTGTTATGATTTTATTCTAGTTGCAAATTATTAAGGAAAAAATACCTCCTTGTTTCAATGTCATGTGATTTGATCAGACAAATGCATTTTTCAGGGAAATACAGCAGTCACTTGTAGAGATTGGCGATAAGGATCCTTCTTTTATAGGTTCACGTGAATGGATTGGTGCCATTGAATTGAGCTTTGTTTTAGACAAACTTCTGGGTGTAAGTATGGCATTCAATTACTGATTAAAATTAAATATGCTATTGTCTCAGTCATGTGCATAGTCCTGCTATAAAGTGCAGATATTTAATTTTCGCATATGCTTATCTGGCAATCCGACTCGCTTCATTGAGCAGGTTAGTTGTAAAATCATAAACGTGAGGTCTGGAGCTGAGCTTCCTGAAAAATGTCGAGAGCTGGCCTTGCACTTTGAGACTCAAGGAACACCGATTATGATTGGTGAGTTGGACAAATAATTTTTTTTGTTTTTAACTATTATTTACCTTGTATTTGTTGCTTTCTCAAATAAAGATAATGAACTTGAGATCTAAAATTATATGTTGTAGTGGGTATGCTATGCCATATTATTTGCTGAATGGGAAATGTATTGTGCTTCTGATGTATACAGGTGGTGGTGTTCTTGCATATACTCTATTGGGAATTGATTTCAATGAAGCAAGTGGAGGTTGTGCATTTCTCATACTTGATCCACACTATACAGGGAACGACGAGCACAAGAAAATTGTAAATGGAGGATGGTGTGGGTGGAAGAAAGCAGTTGATAGCAAGGGAAAGAATTTCTTCTTACATGATAAATTCTATAATCTTCTGCTTCCACAGAGGCCCAATATGGTATAGTTAGATTCTTAGGTTAGAATTGCTTCAAGTTGAAAGGTTATTTTTTTGAGTTGGTTTCATGTATTGTAGAGTGTAGACATTTATCTTCTTTCAAATATCGGGGGAATCAAATTTCAGCTTACGTCCATATTGCTTGTTCAGTTTCTTGACATTTGCTACGGCTCTCTGATAAAGAACCCATTTGAAGGGATTTGTTGAACTTGCTAAATATTATTACCATAAGTTTTCAATCAACTTACATTAAGTTTCAAGCTTCAATCCAACTTTTTACTTGCTAGGGCCTAGGTGCATATTATTGTAGTGTTTTTGCTTTTAGAAATGAAAATTAGAGTTAAGAGGTTTAATAGGGACTTTTGGATGTATTACTTAAGAGGTCTTGAGTTTGAGTCTCTCTTCGGTTGTTAATAAGGATAATCATTGGAGTTTTTACCCAGTCGATGGTTTCAGGATCTGAGGAGATTAGTTGAGGTGCGTGTAAGTTGACCTGAACACTCCAATCATTGAAAAAAAAAAAAAAAAAAAAATTATGACTTTGGTGGTATTCCACCATCAAAGTTTATCAACTTGCATTATTAGGGCTGCTAAATGCAGTTTACATGTGTCTCTTAGATTAGTGCTAACTTGCTCTAAATTATCTATTGGTTTTAGTTGTCTCATGTGAGGTGGTTTGTAGCCTATAAAAGGCCTTGTAAAATTCATTCATTACGTTTCCAGTTAGGGCAAAGATAATATCACATATAAACAATTAAGCCCTATATGTCTCATTTCTCTTACTTGAATCCATCTTTCTTTTATTTTGCCAACTCAAACTCCTTGTTGTGCATTGTTATTATATATCACCTTATAAGCATGTGAAGCTTCTGTAACTTTCATTATTTGTTTAATTTTTGACATATTATAACTATCCTTATAAGTATGCTATGTGATTTCCATTGTTAAATTTGATCTTCCATGTCGGAAAACAATGTTATTTTTTGTTGATTTATTTATTTTTAAAGTTGTAATTTCTACTAAATATTTGCAACCTGAAGTTACAAAGATGAAGTAACTTATGAACTAGAAGTTATAAATAAACCTCAAAGATCAAAGAAGCAGAACCTGAAGTTCTGATTCAGAATATAAATTTGAAGTTTATGAAGTACTGAAACCAAAACCTAAAGTTTTGAGTCTACAACATAATTGGAATAAAGGCATGAAGCCATGAGAACTCTAAAATTAGAACTTGAAGATCTATATTTCAAATCTTTATATCAAAATTCGGAGTTCTGACTTTACATATGTAACTTATCGTCTTTTCTATTTCATTGCAATTTATCATTATTTTATTGCACTTTATATTTTAATGAATATTTTAATTTATGAATATTTGAGATACTATAATGCCTGTAATGTAAATTCCCAATCAATGTACTGCTAATCACACGCACAAACCCACAAAAACACACACAAAAAAAACAAGATCAAACCAATCACAAGAACACCAAATTTACTGTGGTTCACCTTTCATAATGAAAAGATTACATCCACGTTGAGCTCCAAGAATTTTTGGAGGCTCGCTGCACTAGGAATCAACTGTTATTACAGATTACAAAACACTCTCAAAGATTCACCCAACTATCAATCTTTAACCCAATCACTCAAATCTGAAATCTCTAGAGAATACTTGATCTAGTTTCTCTAAACCTGAAGAAAACACTATCTTCACCCTAAGATTATACAGATTCTCAACCCAAAAGCTTGACTACAAACTAACAATGATAAGAGCAAAAATTAATCTGTCGTGAAAAGAGAGAGGAGCAGAAGAGATAAGTTTCTGCGCAAAAGACTCCCTTTATATATGTTGACCTCAAGAGCTAATCCTGGCCGTTGGATCTTCTTCATTTCAGTGGCTATGATCTGTTCTCATTTGCAGTGAAACGGCTGCGTTTTGATAAGTGAAATTTTGCAGAAACATTACAAAGGTTTTGCATTTCAGATATTAACAGCGTCATTATGCCATGCATCTAGAAGATGTGAATCCAGGAAAGAAAATCACTTATTCCTATAGAAAAAAAAAAAAAAAAAATCCTAACTTTCTTTCTACCACTTAAATTAAATTATGGGAATTGATTTTTTCAATAGGGAATATTACATGTACAAAGAACTTTACAAAGATTTTTTGTACAAAGTGATGTGGTAGAAGATGAATGGAAGAATGAATATGATGAGTTTGACATTTTGTAATCATTTTTCCATTCATCTTTTGCCACTTCATTTTGTACAAGAAATCTAGAGCTGGGCATTTAGGACCGTGTCCAAAAACCTGGCTAAAAAATTCGGTCCTACGAGAGGACTGGTCCTAGCAGGCGTGGTCCCAAAATCGAACCAAGCTTAAGGAGGAGGGCTCGGTCCCTCCATTAGGCCCTCCTCCAAGGCCCGTCCCAGGCCCAAACCCTTTTGGTTTATTTTTTTAGCCCTCTGAACAATTATTAAAACCCCCTATAATTTTGGTTAGGGGTTTAAATTTTTTTACAAAATGAAAAAAAAAAAAAAAAAAATTGCATCCCCCCCCTCCCCCTCCCCCTCCTTTCTCCCAATGCTACACTATAAAAATCCCCTAAATTTCTCATTTTTTCTACACCACTCAATCTCTCTACTCTCTACTCCAAATCTCCAATCAAATTCTCATTCAGTTTATATTTATATTTATAATTTATTCTTATTCTTATTTATTTATTTCTATTATTTAATTTTTTCTATTTTTCAATATCATCTCTTATTCATATTATTATTTAATTTTTTTTTCATTTTAATTATTTATTATTTTATCATAAATTCATAATGGATTCCCGAAATGATGCATTCGAAGGATTATCCCCAAATGAGTTTTACGTTCCATCCACCGAAGAAATGGAAGGGTTCGATCCATTTTCATCTTTTCCTCCAAAGGCAGCAACTGCAATTCAACAACCATATTCGGCCGGGACAAGGTGCAGTCAAACACAAGCAAGCTGCAACTCAACAGGCACGAGCGTGGCCCAACCCCCCCGATCGTCAAAGAGGGTCGTGTCTGATGTATAGCGACACTTCACCAAATCAAAACGGTCAAAGACAAATGGGGAGGGGGAAGAACCGTGTGGGGTACGTGTTAGGATTCATGCATTTTGGACATAGAAATGGTGTAAAATTGATGAACAAGATGATGGATGCAAGGTAGAAAACAAACACAACATCAATGGAAATTTTTTTTTTTCAAACAAAGAATAGTATATTACCTATTCCTTTGCTATTAAATACTTGATGTTGAAACTTGGAGTCTAGATTCTTTAAAAGAGAATGAAGAAACTCAAAATATAATCCACCTAAGCCAAAGATGAGAGAAAGCTGAGAGAGTAAGAGAGTGCCTTTTGTTTTCAATTGTTGCAAATTAAATGAAAATGATATAACACTTGGTATATATAGCATGGACAATTTAAAATTAATCTTGGGAAAGAGCATTTATGTCAAGTCCTTGGTTTTATGGTTAATTCATAATTAGCCCAATTTTAATCCTATTAATTATTCTAACTCTTTAGAATAAAACCAATGCACTTTTGTCTCCATCATTGAATCTAATTTAATAATAATATTTAATAAATCATTATTACCCTTGGTTAGTGCTAGCTATCCATAGATAATCATTTCTCATCGATACACTATTTCGGATGCAACTGTTTACGTCCGAACATCATTAATCCGATCAATGATATTTATTACTCTCTCTTCTTGAGCTTAGTTTTATGTGTGACCATTTTGGTTCACTGTGATCTAGCCGTGGGCATCAGATTTTGATATGTTTCATTATAACTCTTTATAATCGAAACTCCCACTGATTATGTTAGACGTTTAACAATGTTTCATAACCCCTCAACCACAATGAAGTGTATACTCCAATGAACCTATTCTGATCGTACGTACCATGTAGTAAAATCCCTTCGTTATCTAATCCCGATTAAGAATGGTTCATGGTATGTCAAAACCCTTAACTTAATCTTGAATCAAATTGTTAATCGATACAATGGAACGCGTTAACATGAAACTACTTTTCATCTGATATTCATTATACTCTGGCCAGAGATTTCCTTTTTCCAATGTTTATTGACATTCATCTGGGAACTCAAGATTGAACTATTTTGAGTTAACGAATCCCATCTTGACCATCACTTGTCCTCGCACATGAATAACATATGACCAAACCTGCTTATTACACAAGACATGACTAGTCTCGTGCTTATACACCATATGAACCATATGCATCCTATGTTGAATTCAATCGTGATGTCTCAAGTCTAAGGATCAGTGGTACACTAGGAGGATCCTATGATGCATCATTGACCACGTTCATGTGATTCATCGTAATCGGTCATTTTCGATAAATAGTTCACTTACCGTTTATCCATGCTGATGTCTTAGTGACATAACTCTTATAATCACCCACACTAATACCATCACATGATATTCAATGGAGACATTCAGCATGCCTACTATGCAATGTTATTGCCCAATTAACATTATTTGCATAGCGAATTCTTCGATGATCTGATCTTTTGAAGATCCCTGTCATCCAGACATTTCACATGCAATATTAATTATAATATAAATGAAGCAGTAAATCAACATGTGAAATAAGAACACTTTCTTTTATTCATAATACATTTACAAGATATAATGTCCTTAAACCAATAACACGATTGGTTCTTAGGGCATACACTAACATTATGTAATTTCTGTGGAACCATTATTGGCACTGAGAAAGGGACTTTGACGATGCGACGACACTTGGAGAAGAAGCATCCCCAAATAATGCAGCTGTCCAGTACATCTTCAACCGGATCAGGTAGGCAAATTCAAACTCAACTTAATTTTAATCCATAATCTTCATCTCTCTCAATATGGCACTACAATGCATATGTTGCACGAGAGGAAATAACAAGATTCATAGTTGCTACAAACTCTCACATTTGTTTATCTGAAAATCCTTATTTTATTCACATGATTAAGACTGCATTTTGTCCAGCATATACCCCGATTAGTAGAAGTACAAGTAGAAGAGATATACTAAAACTTTATAACAAAATAAATAATAAACTTAAAAACGAATTTCAAAATTTTAGGAATATGTCTATTGTACTTACATTAGACATATGGGCTTGTAGATCAAAAATAGATTTTTTAACTGTCACAATATATTTCTTAGATCATAGTTGGCGTTTACAACAAAAATTGATAGGTT